CTTAACCGGTCATGGTAAGCAATATTCGCGATCGCACAAAATGCTTACTTGCGTTGTCTAATGACTGAGATGCGCAGTGTAGGCCATAAAATCGCAAAGAGCAACCACTTCACAATTTTTTAATAGAACTAGGAGTAAAAACATCAAACACAATCATTACCTTCATAATGGATTAAAAAAGCTGAATAGGCATAATAAAGCTTATGCAACAGTTCGTCAGAGAGCCGGGAAAGATTGCTATCAAGCTATAACTAACTGACAAAGGAAGCGAACGCTCGATTTTTCGTGACAGGACGTTTAAAAGCTCGAAACAACCTCTCGCTGGGAAACCCTGACTAATCCAACAACAGCACAAAGGCAAGCACTCGTATATTTTCCAAGGAAGACAAATTTCACTCGCCTTACGGGCTCGTGCAATTTTGTTAGCCTTTGAACAGTTCACTCGTGCTAATTGATCCCAAATTTTACTCGAAATCTTGTGATTTCTCAATGAAAATCTATAATTTATACAATTATTAAGTGATAAATGCATTTTAAGAACAACAAAAAGATAATGCGTTTACAGCGTTTAAGCGTTCTCTATTGCATTGTATTTGTCTACCCTGTGTCTTTGAACTTTCGTATATCTGATGAAATTAGAAGATCCTCGCAGCTAAGAACACTACTGAAACTAGTAGTTGTAAGTAGGACCTGAAAAAAATTTTTCAGTTGGCTTGTTAGCTCAATTGGTAGAGCGCTGCACCGGTATCGCAAAGGTCATGGGTTCAAATCCCGTACGGGCCTAAAAATTTTTTTCAGGTCCTACTTACAACTCAGGCGCGTAGGAGGGGGGGTTCGAAGGGTTCGAACGAACCCCCTTTGAAGTTCGATAATGGCGGACTGAAATACAAATGATTATAACTGACAACACCAGAGAGGCCGTTTTTTAAAAAATCGAAAACTAAATACAATTATTCTGCTCTCAGGCGCGCTGTATAGTCGTGTCTGTTCGATTATTTATCTCTTTTCGGTAAAATATTGTATAAACTCTGAACGAAAAAAAAATAACGATTTCAGAGTATTTGTAAATCAGCGGTGAAATTGAGAATTTATCGTGGATCGGCAAAAGCCACCGACTCGTTTCGTGATCTAAACCTTTCATTTAAGAGTGATTGTCAGTAAAAATCAAAGAAATCGTGGCCACGGTCAAAAAATCGATTTCGCTCATACTTAATCAGTTTGAAGGCCTAGGTAAGTAACTGAAGGATATGAGGTTAGTTTTTTGAAATATTCCATATAACGGCAGAAAACCACGAAAAACGGTCACCCTACCGGAAGCGCGGATTTCACCTGGCGGAAACTCGAAATTTTACACTTTTCAGCTTCTCGCTACACAGACGTTTACATAGCTGTGAATCTTTCTTAAGTATAATTGAATACATTGATTCTTCCTTAGTCAAACCATGGGAATTATTTTTATCTCTGCCTATTTGTGAGCGAACTGAGACCCGATTAAGAAGACACACTTTTCTCATTTACGCGAAGGTGTAAAATAATCCAAACTCAGCGACGAAAAAAGCTGACCGGTAGTTCTTCAATTCTTCTGATATTATAACCAAAGACAGTTCAGTCATTGATTTTTATGTCTCTGGTTTTAAATCTTTAGGATCTAGTAGCACTTTTGCATGAACGCCGATCAAAATTCGATAAAATTCCAATTGAGCGCCTTTGAAATCTACAACTCTACATAACAATGCACTATTTAATAAATTAGCTCCTCGGCCAAAGTTTGTACATAAAACATGAGGGTTTTACTTTCTTAGCGGTTTGAACCTTTTAAAAATATATATTGATGTTAAATATTGTCTACATAGGTAAAACAAACTATGAGCTGAAATTAAACCTCACAGGCTCGCTCCCTAATCTGTGTCACGCACGAGCGACTTTGCTACAATTAGTACAGTAACAAACAGATATATACATCTGTTAATTTACAATAAGTCTTATTTTAAAACATCTTACTCAACGATGTGCCAGGTTCCCCAGTTAACTTGCTGAAGTAAAAATAAAAGAAAATATCATAATAGCAATTCAAACTGAAACGATAAGAATTGATTTTATTAAGAATGAGAAGCTTTATGCCGTCGATAGCCAATCAGAAGTACCTGTTCTCACGAAAATTGCATCGTTCTTTAAATAAATAAATCGAATTATCTTTATCTGTGAAACATTGCATCTAAAACCAGAGTTTATTGTCGGGGAACTTCATAGAACAGCGATGTCTTGCTCGTTCTTGAATATTGTTGGTGGGATTTGCGGCGCAGACGAACGCACAAGTTCTTCAACTTCCGTCACGCATCTCACGCGGTGTAACAGGGATATCAAAAATCACAAAAAGTCGTTGAAATTTTCCGGAATTGAAACGGAGGTAGAATTAATTTTGGCGAGATGTGGATGTTTTCAAAAGCCGGCGAATTTATCGGATATGACTATCTGTCCGGTTCATCGTGCCAAGTTAGGTTTAGGTTGGCGAAGGACGGGTAATCTTTGCACCATCCCGGAAGTTGTTTCTGGTCACTGCAAGGAGCTGAGGAAGGCACCCGCACTGGAAAAAGGAATAAATTTATTCCAATCCATGAAGATATTTGAGCTTTCAAAACAGCTCGTCCCTGTGGGCTCAGGTAAGCAACCAACTACTTGATGTTCTACCAAACAGAGACTGTCTCCAATGAATTATTTTTAGTCTATTCATTCTGATGACTTGAGATTATATGAAAGAATCATTTGTTTAAACGACGGAGAGAAATAAGTAAGGTTGATGAAGGACATTTCGTTACTTATCTCTTCATTCAGTTGTCCAATCCAATTTTTTTATAACAACCTTTATTTAATGCCTCTCATTTTTTTATGGATTGCGATTATATTAGTGTGTGCACTGTATAGTGCGCTGCACTGTATAGTCCGAGTGCTTCATGGGACAAACATCCTGCATACTGCTAGGATTGGAATGTCATGTGTGGCATACGCTCAATGGAATAAATGTGATGGAATATTTTTAAGCCTGGTGAATAAATGAGAATGATGTATTATTCAGTAAGTGACACAGGCGTACTCGGAAAAAAAGAAATCCGAGTGCTCTCGGCCATCAGGAGTCGAAACTATCGACATCGTGTCAGCTTATGCCTAAGTGACACGATGAGACGGTACGGGTAGTCATCTCCAATAAACTCGTTGGCTTTTAAAAACACGCAATCTTGCTAAAATCAATTCTGGTTCAAGTCCGGAGAGTTTTTTAGGACTTCGTGCGATGTTTTATATCCTTGTTACACAGCGTGAGCAGTGTGACGAAAGCTGAGTAAGGGTAGAAATTAGCCATTGGAAGTTACTTAGCAAGTGCGTTCGTCTGCGCCGCAAATTCCACCGAGAATATTCAAGAACGAGCAAGACGTCGTTGTTATGTATGTCCATTAACTTCGCCAACAACATACTCTGGTTATATGGTTAAGTAGATTTGTTTATTTAGAGAACGATGCAATATTTGCTTTTCGTGGAAACAGTTACTTCCGATTGGTTTTCGACGGCACAAAACTTCTCATACTAAATAAAATCAATTCTAATTGAGCTAGAATTACTATTAAGGTTTTCTTTTTTTTTTCAGCAAGTTAACTGGGAAACCTGGCACATCTTTGAGTAAGATATTTTAAAAATACGACTTATTTAAAATCAACGGATGTAAATATCTGTTTGTTACTGTACTAATTGTAGCTAAGTCGCTCGTGCGTGACGCAGATTAGGGAGCGAGCCTGTGAGATTTAATTTCAGCTCGTGGTAATTTTGGTGTTTCATAGTTTGTTTTACCTGTGTAGCCAATATTTAACATCAATATATATTTTTAAAACGCTTCAAACCGCTAAAAAAGCAAAACCCTTATGTTTTTTCAATAGTGCTTTGTTATGTAGAGTTGTAGATTTCAAAGGCGCTCAATTGGAATTTTATCGAATTTTGATCGACGTTCATGCAAAAGTGCTACTAGATCCTAAAGATTTAAAACCGTAGACCTAAAAATCAATGACTGAACTGTCTTTGGTTATAATATCAGAGGATTTGAAGAACTACTGGTCAGCTTTTTTCGTCGCTGAGTTTGGATTATTTTACACCTTCGCGTAAATGAGAAAAGTGTGTCTTCTTAATCGGGTCTCAGTTCGCTCACAAATAAGCAGAGATAAAAATAATTCCCATGGTTTGACTAAGGAAGAATCAATGTATTCAATTATACTTAAGAAAGATTCACAGCTATGTAAACGTCTGTGTAGCGAGAAGCTGAAAAGTGTAAAATTTCGAGTTTCCGCCAGGTGAAATCCGAGCTTCCGGTAGGGTGACCGTTTTTCGTGGTTTTCTGCCGTTATATGGAATATTTCAAAAAACTAACCTCATATCCTTCAGTTACTTACCTAGGCCTTCAAACTGACAAAGTATGAGCGCAATCGATTTTTTGACCGTGGCCACGTTTTTTGAATTTTCCTTGATTTTTACTGACATTTACTCTTAATTACTCTTGCGGTTTGTTGCGGTTACGAGTCAAATCTGATTGGTCGCAGAACACAATAAACATTCCAGAAGTAATTTTACGGCGTTCATGGTTTTATAGGTTTCACTGTAGTAAAGTTCAAGCCTTTTTGTCTTTCACGCACGATTTAGTACAAGCTAGCCTGAGAAATCTCACCACAAAAGCGGTAAGTCAAACCA